AACTTTGAAGATAAGCATGAGAGAGAACCTGAGACTTCCTTCTAAAGAAGCTCCATTACAGTTAATATGTACCTCTGAGCTTTAGGGATGCCATAGAAAATCCTTTCTGCATGAAATCTCCTCAACTTCTCTCAATTGTTTGCCTCCAAAAACATGCTACTGAAAAGTGTTGATCAACTTGGTTGTTGTTTAAATAATCAAGTGCTGTTCCCTTGGGATATAGTAGTTGCTAAGCTGTGGTGGCATAGTGCCTAAGGCATTTGACTGCTACCCGGAAGGCTGGCAGTTCAAACCCACCAGCCACTCCTTGGAAAGAAGACTGGGCAATCTACTTCCGTAGAGATACCGCCTTGGAAACCCAAGAAGGGGTCGCGCTATGAGTCCAATTGACTCAAGGGCAGTAAGGTTTTTTTTTTGGTTTTGCTTTTCCTTGGTTTAAGCAAATGCAAAAGCTAAAGAAAAATGAAATAAGTTGGAGTAGGCTAAGGAGTTTGAATATGATACTATTTTAAATTTACTTGGGAGTATTTATCACACTAGTAGAATCAGTAGAAATGTCCTATTTCCAGAGATCTATTTGTCTGGAGGGAGCTCTGATAGCGTAGTGCCTAAGGCACTTGACTGCTAACCAGAAGACTGTCAGTTCAAACCCACCAGCCACTCCTTGGAAGGAAGGTTGAGCAATCTACTTCCGTAGTGATACTGCCTCGGAAACCCAAGGAAGGGTCACTATGAGTCGGGTCCGACTAGATGGCAAACAACAATTTGTCTGGAAGATGAAGACTGCTTGAGCACTAGGATGTTATAGAGGGAGCTCTGGGTGTTCAGTGACAATAAATAGAATTCTAATTCCAACTCTTTCCTTACTGTTCTGCAAGTTGGACAAATCATTTAATCTCTAAACTAAGTTTCTCTGTCAATTAGAGACAGGTCATCCTTTCTAAAGCTCATTGGTGATTGTGAGGCCCCAGATGAGATCATGGATGGAAAAACTTTTTACAAACAATGAAACATTTTACAGTAAATAAATTTTGCTTGCATAAATCTAGGAAACTTTTTCCTGTTGATGTAGCACCAGGGAGTGATGATACTATCATATCGGTCCCTTCTATTCCATCACCACATCCTGGCTCTGCCTGGACACAGAACAGGGAGCACTGTCAGTGAAATCAGTGGTGTCTTCATCACTACATGACTGCCTACTGAAGGCCCTAGGCAGTAGTGGAAGATTCCCAGGACTATTTGGTCTCCTCTCTTGTTCCTCTGATTTTCCCACAGGGCCACAGGGCCGTAGTCAGGGAAACAGCATCTTTCTCTCCCCAAACTCTTTCATGTACGTTCCTCCCTTGAGTGAGATGCCAAACAACTATTTCTAGAATGGCAATTACTGCTTATAAAAAGACTTCTCTACCTTAAAAGGCTACCTTTTATGTGTAAATGTGGCCATGAAGTTTAAAAACTGAGTCCTGTTCCTTTCTCCCTGAATGCTTGCTATTCATCCCTTTCAGAAGAGATGCAGATAGCAGATGTGAGCAAAACTTTGGGGGGAATAGAGATAGGAAAGGACTTCTCAACTGATCTCAAAACATGCTTGATGAAGAAAATTAATTTGTAATTTTAGGAAACATGACAAACCTCCAAAGGTATATGATTACTATATGTTATTTGTTGTTATGTGCTGTCGAGTTGGATCCAACTCATAGTGATCCCTCCTTGGGTTTCCGAGGCAGTATCACTACGGAAGTAGATTGTCCAACCTTTCTTCCTAGGAGCGGCTAGGGGGTTTGAACCGCCAGCCTTCTGGTTAGCAGTCAAGTGCCTTAGGCACTATGCTACCAGAGCTCCCTGATTACTATATAGAATTGTGAAATATAAAACAGAAGTTCTATTCATTCCATAAAAATTTTTAATCAAGACAGAAAAGTAAAATAATATAGCCATTAAAAGTGACAAGGTAGAAGTACATGTGTTAAAGTGAAAAATGTCCATTATATATTTTAGTGAAAAAATGTTGCTAAACAATATACATTGTGTGTTCTAGTTTTGATAAACAATAAAACTATATATGTGTGTGGAAAGAAAAATATAAAGAACAGGATATGGCAAATTAGTGATAATAAGTAATGAAAGGTCAGGAATAAAAGAGAAATTTTAATTTTAATTTACATATATTTTTTGTTTTGTTTGTTTTATACTTTTAGAAAAAATAGGTATGACTTTTGAATTAAAAGAAATAGAGAGAGAGAATTATGTTGTAAGTAAACAAATAACCATAGATGATTTCATGGAAATCCCATCACTATTGTGTATAAGGTACTGGTAAGTACTCCTTCTCTGATCTGCACTTCTTATCCCTATTTTAGTGACACTCAGTCTTTGGTGGTTTAGTAAGATAGAAAAGAGATTGCATAGAACAAGCTGGAAAAAAAAAAAGAATCCAGTCAAAAACACTCTGAATAAACAATTAAGAGAGTATGCTTCTGAGCTTTACCACCCTGTTACTTATTGTATAGTCTTGGACTAGCAAATTCAATTATCTCTCTTATTTTCTCCATATAAAAAATAGGGATAATAATTTCAAACCACTCGTAGCTATCAAGCCATGTAGAGATAAAAATGATGAAATATTTTAACACTTTGAGCTCCCAACAGGAACATTCATTGTACAAATAGTAGAGACTGTTGTTAGCATCATCATTATTTTAATTATTAATAATAACGGTAATGACCATATTGCTGAGATGTTTGTCATTTGAAACATTATCTTTTCCTTCCCCTTCCCAGTCTGTATGTCATTGCTTTTCAAACTGATTCGCCTTGTTTCTTAATTGTTTTTCTTTCTTGCTCTCTCAACAAGATTTTTCAGTAAAGGATTGTTCTAAATGTGCTGGATAGTACTCAAAAAATTTAGTAAATGAAGAAATAAATACATTTTACTTATAAAAGACACTTATGTAATTAACCCCTTCCTGCACATACACCCTTGCCCAATCATAATTGCCACCTGTTGAGGCTCATCTAGTCTCATTTAAAATCACCTTCAGACTGGTTGAATTCTAGTAGCTTCAGTAGTGTCAAGGAGCTTTCTCTTTAAGATTTTTCTCAGTTTGGGGACATGTGTGGGTAGACAGTGACAAGTTAGGTAAAAATAGCAGTTAAAGTATAGGTACATTTTTATTAGTCTAAAATTGCCAACCAACAACTAATGTGTCCAGGGTTGCATCATCATGATAGAGAAGCCATTTGGTTTATCACTTCTTAAAGTGTTATAAAAATAGTGCTTAAAAAGAAAAATAGTAACAAGCACAAAAAGGCCAGAGGGGAAAAATATGAACCTCTTAGCAAACACTGGAGAATAAGTCAAGAGTTATCACTAAGTTTACCAGAACAAAGAGTCCAACAGAATAATAGCATGATATGAATTTATTAACACCAGTTGCTATTGAGTCATCTCCAACTCCTGGAGGCCCCACGTATGTCACAGCAACTGTGCTCTGTGGAGTTTTCAATAGCTGGCTCTTTAGAAGTAGATAACCAAGCCCCTCTTCTGAGGCAGCTCTGAGTGGACACAAACCTCCAATTTTTTAGTCAGCAGCTGCGCATGTTACTCAGGGACTCCAACAGTGGCTCTCAAACTCTTTGCTCCTACTTCATAATGATAAAACTCACTGCTGCCAAACCCGTCTCGACTCATAGCGACCCCTTCTTGGGTTTCCGAGGCGGTATCTCTACAGAAATAGATTGCCCCATCTTCCTTCCAAGGAAAGTCTGGTGGGTTTGAACCTCCAGCCTGCCGGTTAGCAGTCAAATGCCTTAGGCATTACGCTACCAGCGCTCCCTCATAATGATAAGCAGCTCCGATATTCTCAGTTCACATGTTTCACCAGTTTCATCTAGCTGAGCTTTTTTGAATGAGCATTTGCACGATGTCTATAAAATTGGTGGGCCTAAAGTACTATTATCAACTACTTAAGCTGGAATCAGCAAACTTTTCTATAAAGGACAATGAAACAAATATTTTAAACACTGCGGACCACAATGTTTAATGTTTAATGGTCACCACTATTCAACTCTCCCACTGTAGCACAAAAACAGCCAGAGACAACACATAAACAAGTAAGCAGGGCTATGTTCCTACAAAACTTTATTTAGGTGTA